GCCATATGTTGTATGTGAAGTGGTGTTGTAATATATGTTTCAATTTGCTTGGAGAAGAAATACTATCATACAGTACAGCAGCACACTCATTTTGTTTTGGGGTGATCACTAATATGACTATTTGTCTTTATCAGCCTATTATAAGAAGTTATATTATATTTTACATTATAATAAATATACATCATTTTAATAAATAGGTAAATATATTCAAATATAAATCCCTATATCTCAGAAGCCTATTGTATATTTACATCTATGCTTATCCACCTACATATATTATTTAAATGTTTATATTTATAAGCATTTTTATATGTATATATAATGTTTAAGAAATATAATATAATACCCAATAATTCTATGTTTTATGATAGAAATTATGTTTCCTGAGCCTGTATTTGAAATATTTGCATATAACTACCACCTGGTCATTGGCATGCATCTCTCCCATCCTCAGTGGTTGCGCTCACCTCTGAATTACATGCCTTGTTCTTTTGTACCTCCTGCAATTCACCATAACTTTCCAAACGAAATGTACAAGTTAAACATCTTTTCTTCTAAAGATATTCCTAATCACAAATAAATGCAATCTCTGGCAAAGAACAGGGGGTGCAGAGAGGAGGGAGAGAGAGAAACATCTGAGTAGATAACCATTAGATATGATTCCCATGATAAGACTCAGTAATTTGGCTTTTAGAGATAACTCCAGGGGCTGTCAGGCTGAACGGCAGCAATTTACTGTTTGTTTTATTTTTCCCCTATCCCTTTTTACACATTTTTATCTTGCCTGTTGAAGGGCTTTTCATCTTAGATGATTTCCACTCTTTTTTTCTGTGTTTGCCCCAGAAGGTGAGATCAGAAGGCGGCAGACTGGCATGTTTTAAAGCTATGGACAAAATACAAATATTTGAGAATGTATTTCATGGTAATTATGTCAGGTTTCATGGCCTGAGCTATGCACTGAGGCGCTGCCTGGATGCCTTAATTTGTATAGAAATTGTAATAATTTGTTCATTTCAAGGTGAAAATTGCATTTTTTAATTTAAATTGTATCCTGCGTGATAGGCTATTATCTAGAAAAATTGTCTTTGTGTATTAGAGTCTATATCCAGGCGTCATGCTTTGTTAAGAGCTAACTGCCTTCAAAAAGAAGGTTTATGTATGTATCTCTCCACAGAATGCAGCAGCGCTTGCTCATTATTTTCATTCTGTAGTATTTCGCCTCCATTTTGGATTATTATATGAATAAGTCCGCAAGCTGACTGTAGATTTTGCGAGCAACCTGTAAACAGGCTCCGCGACTTATCTCTTGGATTTATACCTGCATGTTCACCTTGAAATCCCGCCTTTTTTCCTCAGTGAGGTGAGATGGCACGGAGGATGCGAGAAATAGACGACGCGCGACATTAAAGAGAGATACGAATGAGACATATTGGTAGGGGGAAAAAATGTTGACTGCACCGAGACTTTTTTTTCAATAGGGTGCATTGAGAGCCTTTTAGACCGAGCGGGGTTAAAACGACTCCCAGCTCTCTCACAGCTTAATTTTGCAGTGATGCTGGAGTGTGGAGATTAGAGTCTGGGGGCAAGGAGGGGCACACCGAGGCTTGGTTGAGGGATGCCAGGGTTACTATGGGGGACTATAATCTTGTATTAGGTGCCTGGAGACAGCAAATGAAAAACTGGGTTTAAAAAGGGAAACTTCGCATGAATTGCGTGGCGAAATAAAATTGTCTTACCCTATTGACATCTGTACTAAAAAAAAATCCATTTTAGAAGAGTATAATGCTTCACAGAAGCAGTAGGCTATATGTCGAACAATGGAGTCTGTCAAAGGGATACATTCTTCTCTCTGTAACAATCTTCTGCTAAGCGCTCTACTTACCGATCCGGGTTATTAGGCAATCATGCGATCTGTCGGTGTAAGCTGATTGTAGGAATGTGGAATCCCTTCAGTGAAGATCAGACACCCGGGCTCAGGTACATAATGTATCCTGGAATAATTATGGGATTTAAGGAGATGTTAGGCTTTGTAAGTGCTTTCTTTGTTACGTTTTCGAGAGGCTGACACCGCAGAGTTTCTAAAACATAATAATAACAGTCAAAGGAGGGGACGGGGGTGTCATGGTGAATTCTTCAGACACGTTTTAATCAGTCTGTACGTGGCATGTACCTCCAAATAACATGTGAGTGACCCAAAATACTCATTATCATGAAAGCACCACGTCTCAGAAATTCGTTAAATTTCCCCTCACTGCAAAGTCAGTTCTTTAATTTTATTGATGATAGTGGTTATTTATTTACCTATTCATTTCACCTATTTATTCACCTAGGCTATTTTTTTAATTATAATTTCAAATTATATATTTATTTAATTTAGTTATTCGATTTTTCAGTTTATGTTCATAATAATATTTGGAAAATAATGGCTGAAATAATGAAAAATGATTCAGCTGTCCTCGATGTAATGTGGTCATAAAATGTCATGTCAAACATTTCCAACATTACTTTAATTTGTTTACAGTTGAAACAGTTTAGTTTCAGTTCATCTTAGCCACAGAAATTGTCTCTGAGGTTAAAACACTGTTGAGAAACGTGGAATAAGGAGCCATTGAGGCAATTAAATGTAAACACAGAATCCATAAATGTCAAAGACAATTATTCAGAGACCATCACACTTTCTATGTAAATGGCTTAAGACTTACAGTAAAAGTCCACTTCTCTCTACAAACTGTGAAAAATCTGATTCCCATTCTATAGCTCATTTTACAGTGACCACAGAGACAAATTAATTTCCTCATGAATAAAAAGTGCTACCAATTTAGTACATCCTCTTCCAAACGTCTGAAACATAAATTCACAAATCGTCCTTTGGCCATTCAATGGCTAATATCGGATTGTTTTTAAGTTCTTGGATAAATCGTAAGCTATTCCTTCCATGAATAGCAGAGAAGCATATGGGAAAGTATATTAAAACCATATTTTATATTATAATTATATTGTAATTATAATATGACTGTAATTTGTTTAATAAATAATCTAATATAATGTAATCTTATTAATACATTATATTAGGCCTATTAATAAAAATATTATATTTAATGTAATATACTAGATTATTTATTAATAAATATACACATATTAAATTAACATAATATAATTTGTCATGTATGTATGACAAATTTCAGACATCAAATACTGATTCGATTATCGGCAAAATATATATAGTATATAATATAGTCCAAATATAATAAATGTGTCTTCAGTGTTTAATTCTTTCTTTCCGTATCACATACGCAAATTTCCTTAAATGTATTTTTCTATAACAATAAATATATCTAAATAATATACAGTATAATAAATAAAAACTAAAAATATGTTTAGCATCTATGACTGTCAAAGGACAAATAACTGTCATGACCATCCGAACAGCAAATTTGACTGTTTATGAGATCATCCCAGCAGCTGCTCCCCTAACAGCAATATTAGAAATATCTGAAATGATATTTTATGACATCACATTGAGGACAGCTGAATCATAAAGAGGATTCCTCAGTGCAAAATCACATTCCAGAAAGATTCCCTCACTGTGTGAATGCGGTGAATGAACCCAGATGGCCGCACTCAAACTTGTTTACAATGTATGTTCCTTTAAAGATCTTAATTAAACACTGAGAGTTAATCCATCATCAGAGAGGTGCTCGTTTTGAGGGGAGGTGCAACGAACGCCCGCATCTTGGGCCGTTAATGCCATTACACATTGGCTGGTATTCAGTGCCCCCATAAGAAACGCCGTAAATTCCCTCAGGCGCTGCAGCTCTTCTGTGAATGCAGTGCTCTGAGAGTCTCTGTTGTGACACTGTCTGCAACACTTCACTCTATTCACTTCCAGCGCAACTCAATTACTGGAAACTGATATTTTTAGTATCTTAAATCACCACAACTGTCATGATGCTCTTGACTTCAAAGTGGCTATAAAAATACAGCATTGTTAAGATGGGGATTAAATCATGATTATAGCTGACAGCAACATCAAAGCAGTGAAAAGAGTGTATATGATAAATGCCAATAGATTTTCATGTTTTAAGTATTACAGAAAATGAGCATTTCAGATTAAAAAGCTCTTCATAAATTTAGTACTAGATTGTAAAGCAGGCTTACATGATACTTCTTCTGGCCATATATCATCACTGAGTCAACTATTAAACGTGTAATAAAACATTTGAGCGTTTTTAAATAGAAAACATATTTTAACATATATGCCCCATTTGACTATTGCATGATCCATATAGTGGGTGTTAAGAAAGAAAGAAGCAATCTGTGTTTCTTTGTCCACTTTTTTGAGCTTTAATCCATGACAGATATGCCAGTGCTACAGTAAAGACACCAACAGGCTGAAGGTAGTAAATGCCAATACAAGTTCCCACTACGCTAGTATTTCATACAGCTGAATAAATTATGCCATGATAATATACACACATGCTGAACGGAAATATATCAAAGAAAGTTACATATGCGCAAAAAGGTAAACAATGAAAGAATAAAGAGCAACTGAGGTTGAAAAGAGATTTGGGAAAGGTGTATCGCCCAGTCGGACAGTGCTTCAAATATCCCAAAGGTAGATTAATGCTTGCAGTAGAAATGAGTGCTACACACTAAAAACATGATTTTTTTTTCACATCTCTTTTTTGTCTTTTTCATTTACTACAAAATATTGTAAGTGTTAAAATGGAAATGTCCTCAGTCTTAAATTGGCACATGGTCACGTGTTCATGTTTCAGTAATTGTCCTGAATATACTGTATATGGCATTTTAGGGCACACTGGAGCACAGTTTAGTTTCAGTTCATCTTAGCCACAGAAATTGTCTCTGAGGTTAAAACACTGTTGAGAAACGTGGAATAAGGAGCCATTGAGGCAATTAAATGTAAACACAGAATCCATAAATGTCAAAGACAATTATTCAGAGACCATCACACTTTCTATGTAAATGGCTTAAGACTTACAGTAAAAGTCCACTTCTCTCTACAAACTGTGAAAAATCTGATTCCCATTCTATAGCTCATTTTACAGTGACCACAGAGACAAATTAATTTCCTCATGAATAAAAAGTGCTACCAATTTAGTACATCCTCTTCCAAACGTCTGAAACATAAATTCACAAATCGCCCTTCGGCCATTCAATGGCTAATATCGGATTGTTTTTAAGTTCTTGGATAAATCGTAAGCTATACTTTCCATGAATAGCAGAGAAGCATATGGGAAAGTATATTAAAAGCCATAGAATGCTAAAATTGGCATTTGCCCATAAGGGCTCATTATAATGGTAATTATAGTGACCACAGACAAGAATTAGCCTGTGTTCGTTGCAAAAAAAACTATAATGAAAACAATGTATTTTTGTCATTTGGTCATCATATTTCAGAACAGTGTATGTTTTTAAGACAAAACCATCATAAATAACACTGATAACCCTAAAACACTTTCCACCCATAAAGAGAAGGTCACAGACTGCTTTTTGCCCCATATCAAGGCTCCACCAACCCAGATGAAACACATTGACTAGCCCAGGTTTTGTGGAATGTCAGCATCTCTCTGTGTATATCCATCAGAAATGTAATGTTACAAAGCAAGGCCCTGTGGTTAAAATAGAAACAGGAACTAAACATGAGAAAAATAAAAATGAAACATGTAAACAAAGAGTAATTACAATAGTAAATGCAACAGCAATAGGAACAACCACATTTATAATAACAAATATAATTATAATACCATCATTTTCTATAAACAACATGGTCCGAACAGTTTGGAATGGGCAACAGCTGCAGCTCTAGCCTATGTGTGCTAACACTGGATGCCGACGGGCAGGGCTTTAGTGATTTGGGCTCAGACAATTGATGCTCATTTTCCCTCGGCTTCTTTCTGAAGCCCTGAAAGGGTCTCTTTGTTGTGAAAGAGAGAAAGGATCGGGATGAGTAAGGAGATGCGGCACAATAGTGTCTGTTTTTATGTGGAATGGCTTTTGTATTCACGCTGCTATAGGTAGAAAGTCTAAGACTGCCCGTGATTTTTTAACTTCTCTTGGTCTCGTTCACTCCTAGTCAGATGGACCACGTGTGGGCACTGCAGAAAGAATGGAGGGATGCTGGTGAAACAGATGAGTGGATGTTCAGTTCGAGATCCATCAATACGCCTGTCCCGTCTCTACCTGTAGCAGTCCGAGCACAGCTGAGTGCTCGCCGAGCTTCATCCTTCTCTGTGTGGACAAGCTCACATTCTTAGCCAGGTAATCCACCGCAGCTACACACAAAGATAAAAACAATTCTTTCATTTCTCATATGAAAATAATACGCAACAGTGGCAACTTTTGCCTGGATCTGTGAAGTACATGCACTTCATACAGACAGTTACTTGATCTCATTAGAAAATAAAATTTGTAATAATATAGTATATTGTTTGGCATCATTTGTCTAAAATTATTATATTTTTTATTATATTATAGATGATATATATCCTGTATAAACAGTATATATATATATATATATATATATATATATATATATATATATGCACTGAGCATGAGCAAAATAAAAATGAAACGTAAACAAAGAGTAATCATAATAGCAAATAGGAACAACCACATTTATAATAACAAACATAATTATAATACCATCATTTTCTAACAAAAAAACAGATTGGCATAATCTGTCTAAAATTATTATATTTTTATTATATATAATGTACATGAGTTCATACAGACAATTACTTAAATAAACTTATTCTATAATGAACAATTAAGTTAAAAAAATTTTTTTGCAGCACTTAAAATAAAAAAGTCTTGGTGGTGTAACAGACTGGTCTCAATAAAAGAAGAAAGAAAAATGCCATTTGGCATAATCTATCTAAAATTAGTTTCTTAATATACTGTTATAGCTTTGTAAAAATAAGCAATAAAAAATAAAGTATTATAAAAAATAAAATAAAAACTTTGCCTGCCTAATGAAATCAGTGTGGTATAACCAAAATATATTTTTTTATATAAATAGATATATTTATTTTCTATATATTAACTTTTCACCTAGATTTTTTTAAACAATGATTAAGTTCTGGAAAATATTTTACAAATTTTTACTTCAGGGTTACACCACTTTACAGTTTTTTAGAGCCGTTCAATCTCAATTAAAATGAAAAATTTTCATTTTCATTTTAAAAATGTATGAAATAAACATGAATACAAAGGTTATATTTCTACATTTTCATCTTGGTCATCTTATTTGTAATTGATCCATATAAGCAATTTTTTTAAATTATGATTACGTTTGGGAAATATTTGATTACTTTTAACTTTACAATTATACCACTTGACGTTTTATAGTCTTTGAATCAAAATCAAAATAAAATTTTAAATGTATAAAAACCAAAACGCATACAAAGGTGACTTTTCTACATATTCAACTTAGACAACCTTATTTGTCATTGATCCGTATAGGCATATACTTTGGTTTTAGTTTTGGGTTGAGTTTCAGAGCAGACACTTCACATCAATGTGAGCTTTCACAAACACACTGCGGATTCCAGAGACACAGAGCACCTGTTCCCCACTGTCACTCACTCCTGTCATAGCGAGTATTCCTCAGCACATTCCTCATTATGTCTGTCATCCTCTTCTCAAAATTCCACACTTCCCATCATATAACATTATATTGTGACACACCAATCTATTCCATCAATCCATCTTCCCAAAAAAGCCTCCCAAATTGGCATAAACAAGATTTAAATAAATAAATACAGGCCTTTTTAAAGTTCTTTTGAACACAATCAGTTGGGGAAGAAAAGTTGAAGCTAAAACGTTTTCAGCTCTACTGAGTAGATTTAGATACGAGTCCACTCGATTTTCTACGCCTGAGAAAACTGTTACTGTTGATCGAGATATGTATCTGTACGTCTGCGCAAAATGCAATAGAGCGAGAGGAGAGAGACGGCAGGAAGAGTGGCGAGATTCCCACCAGATAGGTGTAGCACACAAAACGGTGTGACTAACACAGCACCTGAGGGCACGGCTCGCATTGGATTGATCTGGAGTCTGGCTTCGCTGGGAGATCTTTATCAGGAGCACGTGTCGACTCTATCCCGCAGGCTAATCCAGGGTCAGAGGGCACCCAGAGTCCCTCTCGCAACCCAGGACCTCAGCATTGATCTGCCTCCCTTCTCACACTGTTTCAATTTAAATACATGAGCTAAAGACATTAAGGACATTTGATTGGTGGAAAAAGACTTTTGGGGTTGCGAGGACAAACCAAGGACAGGACAGAAGTGGTGTGGTGCAAAAAACTGGGGAAGCTCCAATTAACCGCTCTAGCCACAGAAAAGGCCTCCCTCGCTGAGTCCAACTGGAATTGGTTTACTTATTAAGTTAGCACTGCGCTAGCTGTAACCTTCAGGTAATTATTTGCATAGACATTTCCCATCCCCATCCTCAAAGCCGAAATGGAAAAAAAGGAAGTGGAAACGGAGGAAGGTTAAACCTGAGGGCTTTGCATTTCGAAACTGACAGGATTGAGTTTGCGCTACTTGAGTGTTTCTGGAGTTGGCATTGCGACCACAGCCACTCCTTTTCTGACAAGTGGTAAACACAGTGATCATTTGATCAAATGTCAACAGTAATGACAAAACGCATCACGACGGAGACGTCTACGGTTAATGGATATAAAAAAGGCGAGCATTAGCGCGCTGGCATTAGCTGCTGGCACGTCAAGAGCCTCTGATGTTTTTTGGTCGGAGGCCCTTTGATTACCCCAGTCGAGGAGGTGTTATTTGAACCTCTCCTTCCTTTATTCATCATTAGCAGAAGTGTTGAGGCGGGGCAGAGCGAGGGTGCGCGCGGACGGTGCCAGACATCTGTCAGTGTGACAGTAAGCGCTGCACGTTAGCGTCTGTAAGCAAGAGCAAAAAGGAAGCTGTCAGGGACGGCGGCACGTACAGTAGCAGCCGCATACCTGTGGGTGGGCTAGCTGTCTGTACAGGAGACACTGGTGCTGACAGCTAGCAGAGAGAGTAATCACAGCTCATTTAACCTGTCTCCCTCAGGAAGCCTTTCTCTCCTGTCAGCCCCGTTTACTCCTTAAATCCCGCTCAGACTGAATCTCTGCCTTCCCTAAGAGGAGCAGCGAATCTGCTCTCTGACACTCACGGTCACAGCCAACACACGCATCTCTACAAAGTGCGCCCTTAAGCTGCCTCCCGCATTTCAATGAAATATTAGACAGGTGGGCTAAATCAGTGATTTCGCACCACGGGGAGTACTTAAAAGATATAGTTCCCTCAAGCGTTAGGATTCGGTACTAAATTCAACTAAAATAACGGAATGTAAATTAACTGAATTGTAAATCATTTAATGAATAACTAGGTACTCGTTTCCATATGATAGAAAGCGATGCCACTAATCATAAAAGTGGTAAATGTGATACTTGATATTTCTGTGTAATTGTTTGAGAAATTTACTAGCAATTTCTAAATAAAAATTGAGTCCCACTTTATATTAACTGGCCTTACACTCTTAAAAATAAAGGTGCTTCACGATGCCATAGAAGAACCTTTTTTGTCTAAATGGTTCCATAAAGAACCTTTAACATCTGCAGAACCTTTCTGTTTCACAAAAGGTTCTTTGTGGTGAAAGATGGTTCTTCAGATTATAAAAAGGTAAGAAAGAGATGGTTCTTTAAAGAACCTTGGCTGAATGCTTATTTGTGGAACCAAAAATGGTTCTTCTATGGCATCGCTGTGAAGAACCTTTCAAGCACCCTTATTTTTAAGAGTGTAACTACCATGTACTTACATCAAAAATAAGTACAATGTACTTATTGTATTCATATTGTATTGCAAAACACTTTTGCTGCTATTGAGGCGGGTAATGTTAGGGACAGGTTTGATGGTATTGATGGGCATAAGGGTGGGTTAAGGTGTAAGGGATGGGTCAACAGTGTAATTATGAATGTAATTACAAAAAATAATTACAGATGTAATTACATGCAGGTATTTTCAAAAATGTAAAAACATGTATGTACACAATAAGTGCATTGTATCAAATGATTAATTTAAATGTAAGTACATATTAGTTAAGTCCACTTAATATAAAGTGGGACCCAAATGATTCAGGTCCGTTTTGTGTACTAGCTCATTTGATTCATTTGATAGATCTGTTATAGTGAATTCATGAGAAAAATGTATAGTGCATCATTTAATTTGACTTAAATTTCGGTCTGTTTCTCGCACAAAGCTATCATATGGCTTGAAAATATGGGATATAGTGCATTATTGCACAAGTTGAATAGAGATCTTTATTACATGGAAAAAAAAGTGTCCAGGATATTAAACAAAAAATTCTTCTTTTGCATTCCATAGAAGAAAGAAAGTCATATGGTTTATAAAAACAGAGGGATGAAATGGATGAAATACATGACCTTTTTAAATGAACTACTTTTTAAGAAGGTCCTGGTTCTTGAATTAGTATAACAGTTGTTGAGGGAACAAATTAAATAAGAAATTTCAGTTTAGTCTTGATTTGAACTGTTTTAGCTTATCTTAAACATTTTTTGTCTTATTTTAAATCATTTTAAGTCATCTTGAGGTCCCCTTGGAAGAAGTTTGCTGCGGCCCCCTGGTTGAGAACCACTGCAGTATAATGTTAAAAATAAATTAATATTAAGAGTTAAAAGGAACACATTTCAGGTTTGGTGTCAATGAAAGGGTTACATTTTTACATTTACTAATTTAAGCTGCTTTTATCTAAAGCGACTTACATGCAACTTGATTCTGATGGGTTTGTCGGAGTAAATGTAACAAACACTATAAATAAAGAGAAGAGAGGCGCTTACTCTGGCCGTACTGACTGTACTGGTAGCCGGCAGTGACGGGGTCCACGCTGTAGCTGGTGGTGCTGTACGTAGGGGGGCAGTAGGACTGGGAGGAGGGCAGGCTGTCAGCGGTCTTGATAGGCTCAGAGCGCTGGCTGCAGCTGGCTGAGATGGGGTTGGAGGCCTCCAGGCCGCTGTGCAGGGGGGAGATGGAGAACTCATGCTGGGGCTGAGGGGCCACGGCACTAGGGTTGCTGAGGATGCTCATCACCTGGTGGGTAGAAAGGAGCGAGAGTCAGGATCAGCAAAAAGATATGGAAACCACTTCATCATAGGCAGTAAATCGGTTTCCCGATTCATTGTTGGTCACTGCACGTCACGCGAAGTTCAAGGCCTCATCCTTGATAGGGGTTAAACATCTTCACAACGACCCCTTTCCTGCATCCCAAGGGAGCATTTACTAGGCTAAAAACAGTGTCAGGGTAAATAACAGACACAGAAGGGACCAGCGCAGAGCCGGGTGGTAGAGGGGGTGTTCAGAGAGTGCCAGGGTTGTCTGTCCTGAGGCTTTTCTTCATAACAAGCTCCCTGGGAGAATTTAATCTGGAGCCTTCAGCCATCCCAGAGTCTCAACCCTCATGAATGATTAAAATAATAAACACTCATATTAGATGCCCCCAGAGATTGGGAGATTAGACACTCTACAAGGTCTGCCCTTGTTTCGTGTAATATTGTTTACAGCAAATGTAACCCAGTAAACTCTGGAAAAAATTATAATAGTAATATTTTAATATATACATTACTGGTAAAAATGTTTGGAATCATTATTATTATACTGAAAGAAGTCGCTTATGCTCACCAAGGCTGTATTTATTTGATTAAAAGTAAAAACAGTAATATTGTGAAATATGTTTACAATTTAAAATAACTAGGCCTACTTTTTATTTTAATATGTGTTAAAATGTAATTTATTGTCAGAATCCATTACTCGGGTCTTCAGTGTCACACGATCCTTCAGAAATCAGTCTAATTTACTGATCTGCTGATTTTTCAAATTTGCTGATCAGTGTTGAAGATGGATATACTGCTTAATGATGCACAATAAAATATTCTGTTTACAAATATTACTTAATTTTTCTTTAGTTTCTGCACCCTTCACATTTGATCTAAAGTAAAAATGAAATAAAACCTAATTATAATGCAATAATTTATAATATTCTAATGATTTTTCCAGTTATTTTCATAGTTTTTCATAGAAATCTGTACATAAAGCCATCTGTACACAAAGTCATGGTGTCATGCTGTTGATTACCACAGAAAGCAAAAAATAAATGAATAAAATAAAATATATAATTTACATATATGTACACACATAAACACCCATTTAAAAAAAGACTATTAATAATAACTGAACCATTGTATAATTGATAGGTTAAAGTCAGAGTCATTCAACGCGGCAACCGGATAGAAGGGGTGGAGGCAGAGTAAAAAAAAAAATGTGTGAAAGGAGAAAAAGAGGGTCAGAGATGCTGCATGCAGAGGTTGCTCTGCCTGCCACATGCTCCCCATCCGCAGACTGAAACAAAGCATCCTCCTGAACATCAGGTTCACGTTGTGGCTCGCTACGCCCCGCTGCCCTTTGGCTGTCTCAGGACCCAACCTGCTAAACCAATTAGCCCATCACAGAGCTGCTGTGAGCAAAATCAAGCCCACTTGCACCACTCAAAACAACATCCATGGGCTATTTGTTGAAGTCTGATACAAACCAGGAGATGACAGAGGACTTCAGAATGATCAGCTGCACGTTGGGAAATAAATCAACGTAATACAACAAGGCATCGGCCCACCAGTGTGCATACATTCTCAGATGCATGGCCTAAACAGATAAGTGAATTTAGACCAATATCCTCCCGAAGCTTCCAGGAAAATATGCAGCACTTAAAACATATTAAATACATAAAAGGCTGCTTGAAATGGAGCATGTTGGGCTATACGAGTGCGGAAAGTCCCTCTTCTCATGTGGTATATGATATGAGCAGGCCATGCAGACTTCCTGTGATGAAGGTGGTGGAGAGAGAGAGGGAAATGTGTTAATTAATGGGGCAGCACACAGCGGGCTGTCACGCCGCTGAGCGCTGGTGTATGACCCTGGACACGGGGCGATGGGTCAGGGGCAAACCGCCTGCCCGACAGGGGGCTGAATGGGCAGCTGGAGGGGAGACAGATTTAACAGGCGCTTAATTGAGGTCTGATTATATTCAGCTCTAGCCATTAAATTAAATGCCCCTCACAGGACTGTATGTGGCACTATTGTGTTGAATGCATGGTATATTAATATTGGCATGAACTGAAATTCATCTGTTTTCTCTATGCACATTATTGATCTTATGGTGAACAATTCACCTGTGCATATATTTCATTTAAAAAAAATTTTGACCTCATAATTCTGATGATGTATGCTAGACTTCTCCAATCACTTTGTTTGTATAAACCCCACCCCTTTCTTACAATACACTGCAAGCTGCCATTCAGATTTGCCTCCATCCAATCAGCAACTGACGGATAGACCAAAGTCAAAGCCTTACATTTTGTCTTTTTTAAGAATCCTTTTTACTCGGATATATGACACAATATGGAAATGTTGCTATTTGACTTTAAATAGCAAAGTATTAAAGATGTTAGATAACATATTGAAATGACATTAAATCATGAGACAAACACTGATGTCTGACCTGCACCATGTGCAGCATATATTCACAATACACATTGTTTCAAAGCAGCTGAATCGAAAATGCTTGTTTTAATGTTACATTTGGGAAGGATTCTATTATTAGCCACAGATGAGTGTATCAAAGTAATGTCCATATGGCAGTAATAAAATTCAAGTTATGGTAGTTAACATTATGTATTCAGTTAAGCAGACAAAACAAATGTGTTAGGCAGCAATCGTAATGATTACAATATAAGGGTAGTTTTACAACGTAAGGATATTATTTAACAGTTTTGCATGTCGATCCAAAGTTAGCATCACCTGAAGTCTTTGTAGGATTTGATAGATATGCATACTGCCTCAAATTTCATTGTGTTCATCACAACACAAAGCCATTATATGACTTTGGAAGACTTAGCCATATTTACCTCCTTATTCCTGAAAAATGACAAAAACGCCATAAAAGCACCACAAAGGTGCCCATACGACATATAGGCAATATATTCCAAGTCTTTTGATGTCATATAGTAGCTTTTACATTGCAAAATTTAATGTCCACATGACTGTGATCAGTACATCAACAAATGTGGTCACTATAGTAAAGAGCAGCATGAAGATTCATGAGAAATACCAGCAAATGGGTTTGTAAACACATTAGAATGAGTAAATAGAGTGAATAATGATTTTTTTGTGAAATACTCTTTTAAAGTTTTTATTTCTGTTCCTCGATCCATTTAAACTAGGAATAACAAGAATTTCCAGCAAACCACAATGAAGTCATGAAATTCTGTAATCCTCTGTATACCCCAAATACTGACGTTTCACTGTAATATGAGGTAATTTGAGCTAATAGTAAAGCTTGAGCCTATGTAAGTTCAGCATCTCCCCAGGAGTGGCGTTTTAATCAGATGAGCGGGGGACGCCAACACAAGGGGTGTCAGCCCAGAATGTGGGCAGAGAGCGCCGGGTGCCTGACACCTCCATTCAGCCCTGCGCTTAAGCAGCCTGTAGCCTGGGTGATGCCATTATTGTGCTGGAAGACAAATTATTCAAATCTTCAAATTTAGCATAACCTTATTGACATCAATTAAAGTGGCAAACGGAAAATATTCCAGCACGGTGAGAGGTAGAGCCTGGCTTTTTATCACGAGAGGCAGCACGTGGTGAGGCTATTGTCAGCTCAATCCTCTCGCCGCACAGCGCACCACAGAGAGAGGCCTGCCTTAAACCGCAGCGCCCAGCCAGCTGTAATTAGGACATTCAACTTAAAGTGCACACGGAGCCACAACACAAACACAACAAACAGCAGGACGGCCTGTGAACTCTTTACATGGGCTACTGCACTCACAGTGGGACAACCGCAAAACAGAAGGGGCAGAAACGACAGAGTCTGGCTCTGTTTTAGAAAGGGCTCACATATCAGCCACAATTTTTGTCATGGGGATCGCTGTGCTAAAGTTGAATTGTTCTTAAGAAAACAGAAGACACTTTTCTTAAGAGACTATAATAGTGTGAATGTTTCAGGATAAATGCAAGTTAAATGACTAGTACAGAAAAAAACACTGTTACTCAGTTTGTAAATAAAATTAAAAAAAAATGGGGGGAAATAAAATTAAATAAAATGGGGAAAAAATTAAATTGGAGAGATAAATAATCAAATGAAATAATGTTCTAGAATAGATAAATGATAAATGATTAGCACAGAAAATAACATTGCCACTCATTATGTCAATAAAAAAATAAATAATAAAATCAAATAATGTTCTAGAATAAATAAAGGTAAAATGATTAGCATAGAATATAACATTGGCACTCATTTTGCAAATAAAAAAAATTTAAAAAAAAAAGTTAAATGATTAGTATAGAAAATTACACTGTTACTCGGTTTGTAAATAAATGTAAAAAAAATTAAATACATTTTTAAAAACAAAATTGGGAAAAAAATAAATAATAAAATGAAATTATGTTCTAGAATAAATAAAGGTTAAATGATTAGCATAACATTGCCACTCAGTTTGTAAAAATTAAATAAAATTAAATAAAACGGGATAAAATGTAATAAATAAAATAGGAGAAAATAAAATTAAAATAAAAAGGGTAATAATAAAATTATAAAAATAAATAAATATAGAATAGACAGAAAAATAGAAAAATAGAATAAAATAAAATAGTACATTTAGCCCATAGATTTTAAGTAAATATCAAAGTACTTTTTTAATTTGTTTCAAAGCATAAGGGTTAAATATGCAAAATATGGTTTACAGAAAAGGTTCCTACATCACTATAATTTTTAAGAATTTCTTAAATTGTGTACATAAACTTTTAGTATAAGCCAGAGATTCTGTTAAAGGGCAAAATATATAAACTCGGATAACCTTGCCTGCAGTTAGAACCCAAGACTACAACCGAGTAGAGTCGACAGCCCAGTCGGATGCAGACTTGTAATCTATTATTTCCTTCCATACTACCATTGCTAAGTAAAAATCAATATTCTTTCCACACGTGTAACCTTTTTGTATCTGATACGGCTGGTGGGAGGAAGCTGAAATATTTGCCAATCA